CCCTGTAGTAGGTGGGTCTGCTATAGGGTGTGTAAAAGGAACAAATGCAACAATGTAGGGAAAGTCCAGTATGACTTCCACGAACTCTACAAAGGAAAATTGTCTCCATCAATAATATCTGGTACATATAAAACCAACCTTATGGTAAAACATAGTCCCCCATGCTGCTGTACCTACTTGTTGTAATCTCAGGGTCCAATAGTAATTGCAAGAGTTCTGAGGTTTATTATGGAAACAAGCTAGGGTGGGCCAGGGAAGACAAAGGATGTCACACAGAGGAAGTCTCCAGGTTTAGTCCAGCAACATGCATGGAAGAAGTTTCTGGTTTCCTCAGTTATCAGTCAAGCTTTGTCTCATAGCTGTCACAACTCAGCTTTTCCTTCAGTAATCCTGCAAGTAAAACCTTTAATTTGGGCTCTGTCTCCAGGGCTTCATCCTCACTGCATTCTTGACACAGTTGGGTTAGCTCTTTTTTATGTTGGCCGTACAGCTGTTGATGATGTTGAAGATACTGATTAATGGGTAAGCCATGTGTCTGCAGTTGACACAGCTAGAGACCATGCACCCAAAAGGGGTTAAGGCAATGGATATAAAAGCTATATTTAAAAGTTAAACCACTCCCAAAGAAACCATAACTGCCACCCTAGCAGATATAGGCACATCCATGTTTATTGTGGCTTTGTTCACAATAGCAAAGAGCTGGAAACAACCCAAGTGCCCGTCAACAAATGAATGGATAGAGAAGCGCTGGTGCATTCACAACAATGGAATACTATGCAGCATTGAAAAACAAGGAACTCATGAAATATTATGCAAAATGGATGACCCCGGAGGACATTATGCTGAGTGAAATATCTCAGTCACAAAAGGACAAATATTGCACAGGGCCACTGTTGAAAATGGGACTGACATCAGGGTTGAGGGAAGACACAAAAGGAGGGGAGGAATGATGTATATTGCATTGAAACAGAAGAGGAAAAGAACTGTTAAAAGGGACATATGAATGGGTCTTCTTGTCATTACAGAAGTCCAGCGTGAAGGCTGCATAGTGGAGTGGACTTGGGGCGGGGAAGGGATTGCATAACAATGAAAGAGTTTTTCTTTTTCTTTTCAAGGAGAAGAGTGAATGAGGGATGGAGTGGGTAGGTAGAAAAGTGCAACAATGAATGACTGGAAACCCTAAGTCTCTGTAAACTTTCATTAAAATTAATTTTTAAAAAAGTTATACCACTCTTACATGTTGGGATTGGGATTTATCTAGTTAAAAGCTTTACTTTCTGACATTGAATATGCATGCTTTAAAATTTTAAGTATTTTGGAATCTCTGTTTCTTAGTGCTGAATAAGTAGAAATGACGAAAATTTGCCAGATTGAAATAGATAAAAAAACAACACAATGAAAATTACTGAAGGATGACAACTGGCCAGAAAAATGTGCATTAACTTTAGGGGATAATGGTTTAATAGTTATTAAGCTATGTGGTTATTAAAATCACAAGAAAAATACCAAGATTATAATATATAATAGACAAATGTGCAAAGGTGGAAAAAATTTAAGTTAAATGACATAAGCTTTGTGATGGCATTTTAATTCCTGATCAAGTAAAAAAACTTAAAAATACATTCTGTGATGTTCACAAAATTGCTGCAGTTATTCATTAGAAGTGTTGTTGTTGTTGTATACTGTCAAGTTGGAACCAACCCACAGCTGACCCTCCAGTGAGTTTTCAGAGGCAGTAAATCACACAGGAGAAGATTGCCCATCCTCCTGCGGAGCAGCTGGTGCATTTGAAGCGAGTGCCTTTGGGTTTGCAGTTCCTTGCAATAGCAGTATGAATTTGAAAGCAGAAAGCAGATCTACTTTGTGAATGTGAATCATAGGAATGCTTATCACCTTTGAACTCAATGACATTAATCTTAAGAATTTACCATAAGAACATGATATAATGGAAAAACTGTCCAATTAGAAATGGAATAAATATGGAATAGGCGAATTGTTCATTAAAACAGGCTACATTGAAGTAATAGACTTATGCAATTACAGAATTAAGAAGACATACATTATGCTCATTCGCAGGGGAATGAATACCTAAAAATGGTATTTATAACAATGTGAATGTGGTATTGCAAACGATCCTAATATTTTCCATTATTTTATAATGAACATTTTCAAAAATAGGGAAAAGTTAAGAATTTTATAGTGACTACCCATATACTATCATCACTTCAATTCTGCCATTAACATTTTATACTTTGTCAAGTAATTGATTCAGTAACTGGGGGTAGGTGTATCAGAGATAATAAGATTGGTACAAGGTAGAGTTTAGGGCTATTGTACATAGGGTCACTGAGTTGCAGGCGACTTGATAGCAAACAACAACAACAACAACAACAACAACAACAGCAACAAGCTTATTGCTTTTAATTTTGTTCACCTGGTAGTGGAGCAGTAATGTGCTATTGTCTTGAGAGCGCTTCTTTTTCTTAGTAGAGAGATGAATTAAATTTCAGGTAAGAGGCTCAAAGAATGGTTTCCTATAAGTCTATATATGGCCACTAGGTGTCGCTCTGGTCACACCATCCTGTAATCAGCAGCTGCAGGAAAAATTTTAGCAAGAACTACTTTAAATAAAATCAGTGACTGGATTAAATGGGGGCAGGTATATCAGACTGTAAGATTGGCACAGGGTAGAGGGGGGTTTAGGGCTGTTGTACATAGAGTCGCTATAAGTCAACGGCACATAACAATTCATTTATTTGGGGGGTAAGCGTGGAATTAGTTTTTTCTCTCATTAAAAACTAAAGTAATAATTACATATTAACACAGAATCAATCATGAATCGCAGCTCAGCACCAAACATGACCACTACCACAGAATAAAAAAACCCGTTCTTCAAAGGTCAAGAACTTGGTCTGAATGATTGATTTTATTGTTAAAAAATAGCGCCGTTCCTCTTGTCTGAAACAACCTTTTTTACTCCATAGTACTCAGTTTTATGATTATGATAGGTATAACCTGTATATATGTTATCAGCTGTTTAAAAATATTTAGATTAGTCATGGAAATGCATATACTGAGTTTTTGTTATTTTTCTTATGTAGTAAAACTTATAATTTTTCTTTTGCATGATTGATTAAACATATCCAACTCTGTAAGGTTTGAGCCTGTACCTAGTACATTGTCGAGCAATCTAGAAAGAATGTTTTAAAACTTTTGCTGAAGGCTATTTTACAATTGGCAGATTTACCCAGAAAAGTATGCTTATTTCATTATTTCAATGATGAAAAAAAATTCTAATGTCCTTTATTGTTTTTTTAAAAAGTCTCTGTTGTTGTTAAGAGCCAGAGAGTCGCAGGCGACTCATAGCGACCCTATGAAGGAGAGTCCTTGATGCTTGGGTGCCTTTCATCCTCTCTCCAAGTTCATAAGATTTCCGGAGGCAAGCTGTTATGGAAGTGGATGCCACTCCTCCTTACACGCTTGTTCAATCGGGGAGCTCCACCCCACTTTCAGTCCGCATTGGGTAGCCCACCATTAACACATTTGACACATCCGTGCCACAGTGTTCAGCCTCACAGCAACCACAAGTGACCGCGGGATGCCAACTTGTACACCAGGGCTATATGACCTCTAGATGAAAATATTTTTGTTTTTATTTATTAAAGAGAAAACTTAAATTTTGAAGGTAAGGAAAGCCTAGCTCTGTTGAGGTTCATTTTCTAAAAAAGATTTTTCTTTTATTTTTCTTAGTGGAATCCTTAGTTTCTTCCCATTTTAGGATGTCACCAATTGCCAGTTTGCTTCTGTCTTAGAATAAAATCATGGAGGCAATGATCCAACATTATGATCTAGTAAACTAACTGGAATAACTAGTTGTTGTTACATACCATAAAGTTGGAACTGACCCATAGTTGACCCTCCATTGAGTTTTCAGAGGTGGTTAATCACCCTGGAAGAGATTGCCGATCCTCCCACAGGTCAGCTGGTGGCCTTGAACCTAGTGTGTTCAGGTTTTCAATTCAGTTTCTTGTCACTAGGCCACTAGAGCTCCTTGGAATAATTAGAGGGGCATTACAACATGTATTTTTTTAAAAAAGAAGAGACTATTTGATAAACTATTTGCCATAACAAATAATTTTATTGGTTTTTTTAAAAATAATTTTTACAAAATGAAGTTATTCAGAGTAAAACATCTTGGGGTAATTTTGTGTAAATGGAGGAAGTATATGTCTGAAGTATTTAGTGTCATGATTTTGAGGTTGTGATAAAATTAATTCCTCAAGGAAGCAGGCAAGAAAAATGGACAAAGATTCATTGTTTATAGAAGAATTTTTATTTTATAGAAAGAATTCTCATTTTTGTCCCATAGAAACAAAACAAATTTACTTTGCTCAAAAATGAAATTATAATCTAATATTTTTGTATTATAATTTATTGTAATACTGTTTTGCATGCATTCTTTCAAGTTTGGTTTTGTATTTTGAATTTTTATTTCAATACAAAATGGAAAATAGGTTAAAAGTCAACAATAAGAATAAAGTTAAATAAATTGTGATTTATGCAAATATTTGATGAAATATTACGTAGTAATTACAAATAAGTGAAATATTGCCTATTTTGGTCACCACATAACTCTGCTCTCAAGTCCATGCTGATTTACAGGGACTGTTCATTGAGTTTAAGGTTTAAATCTTTTTTTTTTCTTTTAATTATTTTTGTTGTATTATTTTTTACGTGTACCGTCAAATCAGATCTGACTGGCACGGGAGGAGATTGCCCCCTCCTTCTCCAGCAGAGCATCTGGTGGATTTGAACCGCGTACCTCTGGGATTGCAGTGTAGTGTCTTGCCACTAGGCCACCAGAGCTTAAGGTTTAAATCTTAATGGAAGAGATTGTCCATCTTTTCCCCAAGGAGTCATTGGTAGATTTGTAACCTTTTGACTAGCCATGCCACGTATTATGGACTATGTCACCAGCACTCCTTTTTTTTCCCCAGGAATGTACAAATGTCTTTTTTTATTCAAAAATACAAAATAAATTATCTGTTGGCATGGACAATGACAGCAGTAAACCCCATTACATATTGTCAACTAAAACCAGTAACTGATGGTTATAGTGATTTTCTTAGACATCAGCCAGCCTTTTCTCCCACCATTTCCTTCCACTGACTTCTCTGAAGTTATTGGTGAGGAACAATGCCTTGCACTTCCTGTCACAGTTCATTAATAAGTGGTAAAGCACTATCTGGGTATTAGAACATGCCTCCTCCCATACCACCCATTCCACCTCCCGTTCCACCCATGCCCGGGTCCTTCTCTTCTTTAGGAATTTCTGTGACTACAACTTCTGCTGTGGTTAACAGAGACGCGACTCCAGCAGCATCCAACAAAGAAGTTCTTACAACCTTAGTTAGATCAATGATTCCTTTTTCTACCATATTCACAAAATCTCCAAGCATAGCATCATAACCGATTTCTGAGGAACTCTGCAAAATTTTCTCAACTATTAATGATCCTTCAACACCAGCATTCTTGGCAATGGTCATTGCAGGAATTTTGAGTGTTCTTTTAATAATTTCAATACCAATTTTTTGATCTTCATTAGCTGGAGTGAGTGAGTCCAAAGCTGGAATGCACCGAAGCAGAGCACAGCCTCCTCCAAGAACAATGCCTTCTTCAACGGCAGCTCGTGTTGCGTTAAGGGCATCTGTAACTCTGTCTTTCTTTTCATTTACTTCCATGTCACTTGTCCCACCAACTTTCAGCACTGCCACTCCATCTGAAAGTTTTGCCAGACGTTCATTCAGTTTTTCTTTTTCATATTCACTAGTTGTAATGTCTAATTGCTCGATGATTTCTTGAATATGTTTTTCAATTTGAGCCCTGTCACCTTTGCCTTTCAAGAGCATGGCATCATCTTTGGTCACAATGACCTCTCCAACTTTTTCCAAGTCATGCAGCTGAACATCTTCAAGATTCAGGGTCAATCCCTCTTCTCCAAACACTGCTCCACCAGTAGCAATTGCCATGTCTTTAGGCTGGTTCTTTCTATTGTCACCAAAACCTGGAGCTTTGACGGCTACAACCTGAAGCCCAACTTTTAGCCTATTCAATACAAGAGTACTTAGAGCTTCTCCATCAACATCTTCAGCAATTATGACCAAAGGCTTACGGTGAGCACTGGCAATTTAGAGCAGGTACAATGGACTGGACACTAGAAATTTTCTTTTTGCTCAATAAAACATATGCATCCTGGAATTCACATTTCTGACCTTTTGATGTATTAATAAAATATGGGGAAATATAGCCTCGGTCAAACTTCATGCCTTCAATAATTTCTAATTCGTCATTCAGTGTTTTTCCATCCTTTACTGTAATGACACCCTTTCTCCCAACGTTTTTCATTGCATCTGAAATGATGGTGCCAATTTCTTTATCTCCATTTGCAGAAATTGTAGCAACTTGAGCAATTTCTTCAGGAGTTGTCACAGGTTTAGACTGCTTCTTAAGCTCAGCAATTACAGCATCAACAGCCAACATCACACCTCTCCTGATTTCCACTGAATTAGCACCTTTGCTAATCTTCTCGAAGCCTTCCTTGGCAATAGAGCGTGCCAGTACAGTAGCTGTGGTAGTACCATCTCCAGCCTCTTCATTTGTGTTATTGGCAACATCCTGAACAAGCTTGGCCCCAATATTTTTGTATTTATCCTTCAAGTCAATTGATTTTGCAACAGTTACACCATCTTTTGTAACTTTGGGACTTCCCCATCTCTGTTCAATAATGACTGTTCTTCCCTTTGGCCCCATAGTAACAGCTACAGCATCAGCTAAAAGGTCTACACCTTGAAGCATTAAGGCTCGGGCATCAGCACCAAATTTGACATCTTTGGCATAAGCCCGAGTTAAATGAGGAGCCAGGGCCCTAGACACTGGCCTCATCTGCCGAAGGACTGCAGGTAATCGGAGCATTTCTGCAGGGCGGACGGCGAGCGGGAGTGCACGCGGAAAGCAAGGCCGTCAGCGAGGAGTGAGGGACAGAGTCCAGAACTCCTTTTTTAATAACATGGAAAGAAAATTCTCGGCCACAGTGACTTAGGTTTCTGCGACTGTTAAATCACAATGGAAGGGGAAAGCTCATCTTTCTAATCCACCGGTGGCTCCACACAGATGGGGAGGTGTAGCCTTTGTTTAACAGCCTTATGGACTATGCCACCATTGTTATGTTCTATCGAGTCAAGTGGGACCCATAGCAACCCTGTGAACAGCCGACCCAAACTGTCCCCTATCTTGTACCATCCTGATTATCTCTGACTCACTAGAGCCCATTGCTGAAGTCACCGTGTCAGTCCATCTTGTCGAGGGTCGTCTTCTCCTTTGCTGACCCTCTATCTTTCCATGATGTCCCTTTCCAAGTAATAGCCTTGCCTACCTACCTGTCTAAAGTATGAAAGATGACATTTTGCCATCTTTCTTTCCAGGAAACACTCTAGTTGCATTTTTCCCCCCAAGAAGTAACTATTTGTTCTTTTGGCAGTCCATGGGATCTTCAGTGCTCTTCTCCAGAACCATAACTCAAGGTATCAAGTCTTCTGTCATCCTTATTTATTTCCCACCTCTCTGGAGCATAGCAGGTGATTAAGAAGACCATGGAGGAGACACATATACTTAGATATGAGGAATAACAGTATATGTAACCTAAAATACTGGAATTTAGAAGTTCTTTACTAACAAAAAACAATACCATAGAACCAATAGAGCAGAGTAGAACTGCCCATAAGGTTTCCAAGGCTATAAAGCTTTAAAGTGGCTGGTAGATTTGAACCACTTGATCTTTCAGTTTGTAGCTGAGTGCTTTTACCACTATGCCAGGGTTCCTTTTGAAGGTCTCTGTTGTTATGTGCTGAAGAGTTAAAACCTACTCATAGCTGACACTCTAGCAAGATTTCAAAGGCAATAAATTGCACCAGGTCCATCTTTTTCCCTCCGAGCAGCTGGTGGATTTGAACCATGTGCCTCTGGATTGGCAGCAAAGCTCCTCAACACTAAGTCACCAGAGCCCTTTACTGTTTAATTTCCTTGAAAAATAAGTAAAGTCTTGGCTGCCTATTAGTCTTGAGTACCTCTCTTTCTCCTTTTTTCTCTTTACCATCCTTTCCCAGCTTCCTAGTCTTCTCTGCCTCTCTTTCCTCCCTCCCTTTCTTTCCTGCCTCCTCCCCTCTTTTTATGCCTTAAGAATGATTTAGAAATAACCCTCCATTTGATTTCTTAAGCCGTATATCTTAATGGTAGGAGACTATTCCTCTTTGTTCCTCAGAGCTGCTTTTTTTATGGCTGGGGATAGACAACCTTTTAATTAGTCACACAACACACATAAACTATATCTCCAGAACTCCTTACTAGTTTAGAGAAATTATTTCTGAAAAAATGAAATTGCTAGAGACAATAGATATTTTGAAAACATGAGATATTTTTTGAGAAACCTCATGCTGAGGTAGAGACTCAGGTTACTACTACTATATATGGTTTATTACTACTATATATTTGTTGTTAAGGGCTATTGAACCAGCTTTTATTCACAGTGAGCCTGTGTACAGCATATGAAACATTGCCCAGTCCATTGCTATCTTCACTGTTGTTGCTATGTTTGAATCCATTGTTGCAACCGATTTGCCAGTCCATCTTGTTGAAGGTCTTTCTCTTTTCCACTGACTCTGTGGCAGATATGATCTACTTCTTTAAGGACTGATCTTTCCTCATTCTATGTCTAAAACATGTAAGAGAATTAATGGCCTCAATATTAATGAACATACTTCCAAGACAGATTTGTTCATTGTTATTATTTGATGCCACAACTGAAGGGTGTAAAATCTTACTCTGTATTCCTTATTCCAATGTTTAGTTTTCACAACCTATGAGGTATTTGAAACTTCCATGACTTAGGACAGGCACATCTTAGTCCTTAGAGCTGTATCCTTGCTCTTTAGCATTTTAAAAAGGACCCTTGCAACAGAAATTTGTCTATTGAAACATGTGCTGCTTTTTTTCTTGTCTGTTGCTCCATGAGTGTTGATTGTAGATTTCAGTAAAATGAAGTACTAAAATGATCCCTTAAATCTTTTCTCCATTATTGTAATGCTTATTGACCCAGTTGTAAGGAATTTGCCTGCTTTATGGTGAGGTGTAATCCATGAAGACCAAATTCTTTGTTTTTCATGAGCAAGTACTTCAGGTTTCATTTGTTGTCTAGAATCAAGGCTGCGTGTTAGCATCTGCCTCTCTTTCTTTTCTTTTGGTTGAACAGTTTAGCTTCTTGAAATCTTTACTCAGCATACAGATTTTTTTAATAGATAAGGTGAAAGGATTCAGCCCTGATTCATACCTTTCCTGATTTCAAACTATATAGTATCTGCCTGGTCTTCTGAATAATTGCTCTTGGTCTATGTGTAGGTTTTCATGAGTACAATTAAGTATTCTGAAAATTATCATTCTTCTCAATATTTATCTTCCTAATTTATTAGGATTGTCTGATTCAATGATAGATGGTGAAGAGATTGAGATTGTTAACGGCTTTAGTCTGTTTAGCTCCACAATCAACACTCTTGGCACCAGTAGCCAGGAAATCAATAGACAAATTTCACTAGGAAAGTCTGCTGTCAGGGACATCTCCAGAGTACTGATTGATGTCAGTACAGTGATGTCAGTCTGGAGACTAAGGTGTGCCTGATCCAGGCCATGGTCTTCTCTTTGCAGTTACGTGCTATCAAAAATCTGGACAATGACTAGGGATGATAGGAGGATTGGTACCTTTCAGCTGTGGTGCTGGAGAAGAGTATTGAACATACCATGGACTGCTAGGAGAACAAACAGGTTCGTGCTAGAGAGGGTGAAATCAGGCTGCTCCTTGGACGCAAGGATTTTGAAGCTCTGTCTGATATGCTTTGGACATGTTGCAAGGAGGGACCAGTCCGTGGAGAGGAACATTATCCTTAGGAGGGAGGAGGGAAGACTTTTGATGAGATGGATTGATTCAGTGACTTGGGTAATGGGAGCAGGTGTGTCAGAGACAATATGGTTGACTCAGGATAGAGCAGGATTCAGAGCTGTTGTACAAAGAGTTACTATGAGTTGCAGGCAACTTGATGATACATAACAACAACAACAACAACAATTTATTAAAGAAGAAGGGAGCTCTGGTAGCCTAGTGGTAAGAAGCTGCGCTGCAATCTCAAAAGCACAGTTTGAATCCACCAGCGGCTCTGTGATGGGAATTCTTGTGATTTACTGCCTTTGAAAAGCCACTGGAGGGTCAGCTATGGGTTGGTACTGACTCAATGGTACACCACCATCACCACCACCCCACCACCACCAAAACCATTTATTATAACATACACAGCAAAATGCCTTTGCATAGTCAATAAAATATACATCTTTCTGATACTCTCTGCTTTCAACCAAGATGCATCTTGACATCAGCATTGATGTCCCTTGTTTCATGTTCTCTTTTGGATCTGACTTGAATTTTTTTGAAGTTTAGCAGTTGATGTACAGTATAATAATTTTTAAATTATCTTCAGCAAAACTTTTCTTACATGTAGTATTAAGGATATTGTTATTAATTTCTGCATTCTACTGGATCACTTTTCTTTGCAGTACTTTTTGGGATTGCAGCACAGTTTCTTACTACTAGGCCATGAAGCTGTGTGTAATACTTTTTACTGAGTGCAAATATGGCTCTCTTCCTGTTGGTTGACCATGTAGCGCTCTTCCAGAATACTTAGCATAGACAAGTGAGTGCCCCCAGAGCTGCATCAGTTTGTTGAAGCATTTAAATTGGTATTTCATCAATTAGTAGTGTTGTTGTTATGTGCCATCAAGTTGGAACTGACTCATAGCTGACCTTTCAGAGAGTTTTCAGAGGCTGTAAATTATATTGAACAAGATTAATTTGTGAACTTCTAATAGAATCCCTTTAGACTCTTTAGAAGATATTCTAGGGTCTTATTTGTGTTAATAAGGATGACAGAGAAAGAATCTATGCCTTCGAATTGTGGTGCTGGAGAAGAGTCTTAAACGAAAACAAATAGATCTGTCTTGGAGAGGGTGCAATCAAGTTTCTCCTGGGAGGCTAGGGTTTTTATTTTTTATTAAATTTTTTTTGAGGCTAGGGTTTTGAAACTTTGTCTCCCATTCTTTGGGCACATGGCCAGGAGAAACCAGTCCTTGCAGAAGAATATAATTTTTGGACAGCACAGGAGAGGAAGACCCTGGATGAGATGGATTGGTACAGAAACTGGGGCAATGGAAGTTAGTGTTTTGGGATTAGTGAGACTGGTTCAGGACAGGGCAGGGTTTGGAGCTGCTGTTCACGGGGTTGCTGGGCGTGGCAAGCAACTCAGTGGCACATAACAACAACAACATTGGTCTAATTTCTGCAGCCTAGTGCAGGAACCATATATACACATTTTTGTTTTGTGTTTTATAGAGTACCAGAAGGAGGAAAGTTTTGTCAGAGGAAGGTTTATCCTCAAGGAGGAGGTAAAGAGGATCTTGAGGGGTGAATAAAACCCTTTATGATGGGAAGAAGAGGATTGCATTTCTGGGGAAGGAAATGTGGTATCAAAAACATATTTTAGTATATTATATTGTGGCATAAAAATGTATTTGGCATGTTAAATGTTTAGAGTGGTCAGAGATAATTCTGGAAAAGCAGACTGGGGCCATATCGTGATAAGCTTCATGAACCCAGGAATTTATGCTCCTGTTTTGTGCCTGTTTGATTTCCCCCAATTGCACAAAGAATATTATGAGAATGGATTTCTTCTAGATAGAGATCAAGTCAACGATAGTGTTCAGGAATTGTGAAGCTGAGGTTTGCTTTTAGGAAGATAATGTTGGTAGTAGTACAGAAGGTGGATTGAAGACGTGGAGATAGCTTTGGAGATTGGGGTGGGGGGGGAACACAATGCACAGAGAAGGGTGAGTAAGTTTACAGAGTGTTCTTTTGTCCCTAAGTACTCAAGAGGACACCTGTGCTCTCTG